AGAGTGTTCAGTTTAGGCAGCTTGCGTTGGAATATTAAGTTGAAGTCTTGCCAAGAGTTTATGAAGAGAGATCTATAATGTTTTGGGTCTTTTTAGACCTCATCAGTAGATCACACTCACCTATTAACCCAACTTAAGTAGCATCTCGCTAATCCATCCCCAAATCCAAGACGGCATCGAAACGTTGTGAATTTGCCCCGAGATATGACACAAAAGTGTAGTCCTCTCGCCATCTACTGTCGCTGCTGAACAACTCTCATAACAAAACAAAGAAAAGCTCAGCAGAACTCAAAAGTTTTTGACTGTAATCGAAAACAATTTCGGAACTTTTTGGCTTTGTTTTCCCTGCGAAATGGTGTGGACCCAGCACCATTTCACAACCTTGTTACATACAGTTCGGGTCATTTCTTAGCTTGTTAAAGCTTATGTAAGCCACTAATTTTCTTCATACTGCGAAAGTGCTAAGTAACTTGTTGAAAAAATGCACTTATCAATGGAAGAATTTTCATCGAATATTAGACCATGTCTCATGCTCAACCTGAGGAAATAAAACCACACACACGCTTAAGTACCTTCACTTAAATATTATCCTTGTCTATACTCAGAAATTAGTTCCATATTCAAAGAAAGGAATTATGATAGTAGTAACATCAATTGTATCAGTACAATTTTTAGCAGAAAGGAACCAAGCCACATCAGCTATTGCCAAATTTAACTGGGCAGTTTAATTTTTTATAAGAGAAAGTTTGTGCAAATTTCTTTGAAACTTTTGAGGAATTTGCTTTGCACTATGCATTAAATCCACTGAAATTTGTACTAAAAGCCGCACAATCGTTTTTATGTAAAAAATTAAATTGCCCAATTGAATTTGGCAATAACTGATGTGACTTGGTTCCTTTCTGCTAAATGCGGTCCAATTATTGAACGCATTCCAAGGTTTTCTTTTTCTCACCCAGTTTTTTCTCTCAGTCACTGATTTTTTTTTTTCAATTTTCTTTCTACTCCCTGAGGAATTTTTAAGATTTCTCCCCTTGTTTTGCGAAATGTATTTTTTGATAGTTTCCTATTGTAATAGCTAACCCTCTCATCAGTTCAACGAACCTGAGTCTTCAGCTTACTCTGCTTAAAAATCTAAATATCATACCTGCTGTATTTTTTGTGGCAAAATTAATCATTGCTAATATGCATTTCTCTGAATTCCAGTAGGAAAAGTTCGGCGAGTGATGGAGAAAAAGCTACTAGCGGATCAAACATCAACGATACCGATACCTCTGTGGCCAAAAACAAGAAGAAAGCTAAGGAAAAGCTAAAACAAGATGAACCAGAATCTGGAAAACTCAGTAGCCTAGATAACAATTCCACTCCACCCAAGAAGAAAAAGTCAGCCAAGAATGAAGAGGCTGAAGACGGAGCATCCAGCGATTCAGAAAGTGATATCGTAGAAGCCAAGAAGGAAAAGAAAACTGCCAAGAAAAAGTCTGGCAAATCCAAGATAGCTTCAAGCGAATCCAACGACTCGGAAAGTGATGTTTCAGAGGTTAAAAATAAGAAGGGAAAATCGAAGAAAAGTAAAAAATCAGCAGATGATGAAGAGGCTAGCGATGACAATGATGTTAAGGTTGTCGAAAACGGAAAGAAAAAAGCTAACAAAAGAGGGAAGAAGACATCCTCGGATGATGATGATGTGATAGATCCGGACGAGTCTGGTGGTTCGGAGAGCGACGTCGCTCCGAAGAAAGGCAAGAAAAACGTCAAAAAGAGACCAAAGCGGAAACTTATCTCGGATTCAGAATCAGAAGTTTCTGAAGGCTCTGCTAGTCCTATCGTCATATCTGATTCAGAAAGCAGTCCAGAAAAACCCAAGTACGTCATTGAAATATTTTCTAATTGTCATCCATAAGGAAAAGAATTTTAGTGCAGATAAACTGAGCATTAAGTAATCGGCAGTATTAATTT